AAATGCTTGGCTCAATATTTAGGAAATTTTCTCTAGTGGCAATAATCAATGAATAACCAACTTGTACCATCCTTCTTGAACATTTCCAAATTTTAATTTCTATATACCCACATGATGACTAACCTTGCATTTCACATTACCATTTTTTGAATTTTTCATACCACAACTCGATATCACCAACAAAATTTCTATGCCTAGGTGATGTGCTTGTAAAGGATTATGAAATATGGTTGTTGAGTATGTAGATACATGAGAATTGTATGTCGCATATCAAACTTTCAAAATGTTGAAATAATTAAGAGCATATCATAATAATAAATCTCATTGAGAGAAGAAATGAAATCATAACCTTGACCAACTGCTAACTTTACAAAGCATTTAACAAAGTTTAGAAGAAGATATGTTATGTTAAATGAATTCTAAACATGTGTGTACATCGCATCATAATCCCTTAGCAATTCTTGCAAATTTCGGATGATTATAAAACGGTTATAATAGCATTTCAATCATAAACGACTAGAATCAAGAAGCAAGAACACCCATTTACCTCTTCTCGAATCAGATTTATATGTTTTGATCCCTATGAAAAAGAGCTTCAGGTTTCCACACAACGAGTCACAAATTTCAGATTTTATGAACCAAAATTGTCAAGAAAATTAACATACACTCACACACTTACGTACATACTTCCAACTCTTTATATACTTACATATCTCACATCTAGGCTTTAATATTTACTTTTATGCCACCCAAACCATTCATATCGCATCAAAATATCACTACTCTTAAGTTTAACAAGATGAAATACACATTATTCATGTATGTAATTATTCATGTATCATTATTCATGTATATGTTTAGAGCGTCAAAGTGTCATGCATGTAAATATCTCCTTGAAACAAGCCTAGGTGCTAGGAGTGTAAATACGTGGAAGAAAGTGATACATGTGTAACATATTAAAATTTGGTTCTTGAACATGTGGATAGATGGAAATTAAGTGTCGCGCAGTGGAGATATGCGGCATGCACGTAGATATTAGCACTTAGGTGGTAAATTTGTAAATGGGCAAAGAAATTCTATTAGTTTGACTGGTAGGTATGTAAAATTGAAGATTAACTGCTAGATTTGTAAATGTAAGAAAACGGGGTGGTAATTAAATAAATCTTCGCTTCTTTGGTTGGTCATGCTATTAATAGCATATATGCACTCTTCGCTACAGCAACAGCCCATTCATCTCAAGTCACATGAATCAGTAATAATGAACATGCAAGGGAACAAAGCCAAAATAGATATTAGAAAGCTAGTCATTCTCTACTGAGAACATCACCGAGGCATTCACATATATATGACCATATTCCTATGTACACTTAAACTTTGCTTCAAATTTTGATTTTATCAATCTTCTGGGAACATTAAGAATACCATCAATAAAACCAAGCGAAGTCATAAAGCAGATGCATACTAGTGCTACATTGTAGTCAACAAACCAGTTTGAGTCTGTTGTAAAGTTTAAATGCTGAAACGAAATAGCAATGGTCAAATAGGCAATTCCAACCACGATGTCCAATGATTCAGGCCTGAAATGACCAAGTATACCAAGTACAGCCATGGCCATTACGGCAAAGTAGCTGTATGTGTCACCAACAAATACTGAAGAAGGATGAAAGCAAAGAAAACGAGCAAGGGAAGGAAATAGAAAAAAAAAAAAAGCAAACAAGCAAGAACATCAAGCAAAATATCGAGCAAACAAGAAAGAAAACCGATCCGTCGAATAAACAAAAGTGTCGAGCAAACCAGCGAAAATGTCGATCAAACAAACAAGACGGGCTTGTGCGGCCGCGTGAGAGGGTTGGCTACCAGTGCATCGAGAGAATGGGAGAGAGCCGTTGTGAGGAGGATAACGGCTTGGGCACTCCATCCATTTCAAATAGGGAGAGGCATGTGCGGAGCGGCTCGGGCATGCCAATGGGGTTCTTGGAGTGTTGTTGTCGTGGAGAAATTATTTAATTATAACTCTTTTCTCATTTTCCTTTTTTATTTTTTGAATTTTATTTAATGAAAAATAAGATTTTTATTTATTTACAATTATCAAAGTGTAATAGTCCCACAAGATATTATCATCTGCTTTTTTAAAATTGGTAAAACATATATTGCACAAAATAATATAAAAAAATCTATTTTCTTGATTATAATTTCTAAAAATTTTTATCTTAAAATTATTCCAAATGAATTTCTATTTTCTTAATTATTTTTAAATTTATTAGGATATATAAATACACACATAGATAGATAGATATATATATATATATATATAGACACACACACACATAATACTTTAAACATCTAGTTTATCTATCGTAAACTTAAGAGCCTTTAATTTATAAGCATACCATTTTAAAATTTTAAATAATAAAAATACTACTATTAGACATTTATTTTATGTATCATTTTATTTTTTTCTTTTTTCTTTCTTAAATTGAGTAATAATAGCAATTAAGTTAGAAACTACTGATTAGAATTTGCTTCAAACCTGGATCTCATAGTTGGAGAGAAGACTCTCTATCAACTTCTCCACATACATTGCATTTTTATTTATTTTCTTTCCATTATTGTACTTGAATTTAAGTAAAAGGAAAAAACTCAACAATCAAGAGTGGAGCTTTGAAAGGAATAAGTGGTGAAACCCAAAAAGAAAAGAGAAGCATGCACCATTGAATAAGTTTGAAATTCAAAGTAATATGAGGGAACTTGAATCAACATGATTAACTAATATAAAATAAATTAAATAGAAATATTTTTTTTTTTCATCTAGTCAATTTGTTAGGACATGAATAGTGTAATAATTTATAAGTCAGTTACATCATGATTTTTCTTTTAATCAAACATACGCATTGATGTATTTTTTTAGTTTTAAGTTTTTAGAAATAGATTTAAATTTATCCCATCTTTAATTTCATATGCAATGAACTTTGGGTTTCAGGCATCCCTTCCTTTAGAAATTGAATTACCATTATTATGTGTGGTTCTAAGCCATAAGTTGGATACTATAAAGAATACTCGCCTCTTCTTGGAGGAGATGGATAATTTGGACAAGCTTAGAATATAATGTACAGTAGTCTAAAACTATACCAAGCTCACATGATTAGAGCTCATGATAGGTTGGTGAGATCGCAAATATTTGTTATTGGAGAGCTTGTGCTTGTTATGAGGTTCTCTATTTTATCCAACCGGTGCATAATTGACAAATTTGAGCCGACGTACGATGGATCATTCATCAATGAGAGGGTTTAATAAAGTGGAGCCTACATGTTGGTTGATATGGATGGCAGTCATCCAATGCCTCCAATCAACGCGAGACACTCGACAGAATACTATGGGTGAGCTTTATGCTCATTTATTTTCTTTTATTAACATTTCATGTTCTTTGTAAAGTCATGGAAGCATTTCATGTGCTTTTAAAGTTAATTAAAGAAATAAAATTTGTCTTTATTGACTCTTCGTGTTTCTCCCACTTAAATTCCCTCACATGTATTACTACATTCTTTTAGTGAGATGTTCTTTAGCAATTTGCTTGCATGAGCAAGAGAGATTTCACTAGGGCACAATCAATCTGATAGAAAAGAGGTAAAATGATCTTGCATTGCAACAAATGTTCCATCTATCACTTGGATTCAATCTTCAAAACTATTTCAGGAGGAAGATTTATACTAATCTTTTTCAGTTTAGTCCTTTCGGCTGAGGTGGGTAAGCAAAACTAAAAGACCTCTTCTCATTAAATAGAGGAGAATGTTATCCTTGTAAAGAACTACAACTCTAGTTAATGTGTGCATTCTTTGGGTTGGGATTATTTAAGTATTATGCTTCAATGAGTCACACAATCGCTTTCAGGACAATAAGAGGAAAGGTCTTTTTCATTCCTTATTCCCGGTTGGGTCGATTGTGGATGGGTCGATGTTACTAAAACCTATTTTTTGTTTAAGTTAGTTTATTAGCCATGTTCGGGAGGTAGAGCCAATATTATTTATTCATTCTCAATGTTGGGTCTAGTGGTCAAATATATGATTGATGAGCATCATCTTTCAACTAAATTTTATTCTTATGAATTCCCTCTAATCTTCCTCAACCAGCTCTGTTCTCTTCCCTTATTCTCTCTCCTTCCTGCTACTCTATTACTTTGTTGTAATTCAAGTACAAAGATGGGTTCAATAATATGTAACCTTAAATAATCCAACTTGATCTAATATGAGCTCAATCCAATACCATATGAAAAATACTTGAATCAAGAGGGATTAGTATCAACAAGACACAAATTTAACATTATTGCATTACTTGCACACAGATAAAAAAAAACTAATTCAATCTTTTTTAAAATAAATATTAAATAATGAAATTGTGCTCGAATGCGCAACAGTTTGGTTTGAAACAAAATGAAGGATATCAAGGTACCGGGTTTGAACACCCCCCTTTTAAGAAAATTGATTGAATTATTATTTTTTAGTTTATTCAAACATAGCTTAACATATTTTTTATTAGTCATTTAAAAGAAAACAACTCTCACACACAGAAAAATTTCTTTCATGCGTTTGTCCGCACGGAGAACACCGTACGAAACAACAATTATGATTCTCCCATAAAAAAAACAGCATTTGCGATTAGCTGTATCGCAGCCGTTGTCCACGCGATGCTCCGTGCTTACAACGTGTGGAAAATCCACTCCACACAAAGTGGCATATGTAATTTTTTTCTATGTTTCCTTGTATTGAAAAGATGCAATATTTATTTTATAAATAACTAGAAAAGATGAATATAAAATTTGATTTTTTTTTTAAATGCAAATTCAGCGGGACATTTGGCAAAAGATCCATTATCCACTAACAATTTCTGACCAATAGAATCGGTAACCTGCGTATAATCCGAATTTTTTGTAACTGATTACGTGCTAATCTACATATATATCTAATGCTATAAAACCAATACTGGAGATATCCAGCCTCCTTTATCTCAAGTTGGCAGGTATAGCAATCTCTTGAGAGCTGAAACTCCTGTTGCTCTCCTCCTGCCTAGAAGTCTTTTCTATTTATTGTACGTCTAATGACATGGCCGGGCGAATATGAAAGGGATTCTGACATGGATCAAGCGGTGGCCATTTAGGAGCGCGTCGAGAACGCCATATGACCGGCCACCGACGGCGGCACACGGCCTCCGTGATACCAAAAGTGTGAATGAGAGTGATACTGATGGCCGGCTTTCGAAGTTCGTGGAGTCAGTGTCGAGTTTGATTACCATGATAGCCTCCAAATTCTTCTCGTCTGTATGTCGTAAGCGGCTCACTGAGCATCCCGATGCCTCTGGTTGGATTGTCGTGGTGTTTCAAAGTTTTCTTTAAAAAATAGGATTTTGTTTTTTCTAGTGATTCATTTATGATTTATATGATTAGCAACCAAATGAATCAAAAGCTAAAAAAGAAACAATTATTTCTCATGAATTTTTATTGGCGTTTATAGAGATTAACCCTAAATGCTGAGAAAAAAATTTAGAATTTGACTAGTTACCAAATTAATTAAACTAAATAGCATTTACAAAACCTTAAAGAAATAATTGTTGTCATTTCAAACAACAACAGTAAAATTATAATTTTATTTTTTAAATAAAAAAAATTATAAATCTATTTATTGCCTGTAAGCTCGACTCCTATCTCCGCAAAAAGCTTGCCTGAGAGAGAACCAAGGAAGGGCTCTGCTTCGTCAGGTCGATGGCTTTTTTGTCGGAGATGTGGTTGCTCCAGCCAGAAACCCTATAATATATATATATATTATATATATATATATATTAAAAAGTAAACATTAGTACTGCAAAATTCATCTTCATGGTATCATGTGTTGGATAATAGGTTCGTTTGCCTACTTTATGCGATCAGGGATGAATCTGAGTTGCTACTTCATGCATGTTGTGGCATGTATATGCATGTTCAAGATTCAACCAAGTTTCTAGGATTGTTACAATGTTACTCTGAAAGATTAAATTATGCAAAATTTTCAGTATTTAAAAAATAATTATTTTTTTCTTGTTACGAAAATGAGCCTTTGTATGACTTTATTTGGAATGTTATGAATGACCGCTAGTTTGTTTCTTTCCCTCAAATCGTTTTCACTGGCGCAACAAGTCTTCTGAGGAAATAGTGCAATATTTTATACTAACAAAATGGTTGAAAATCGTGATTTGTACACTTTTAGGTGTTAGTAATGACCACATTCTTATAAGTAAACTAATTTAAGTGTGTATTAATCTATTTTTGCTGGAGCTGTGAATGTATTTTATTATTATTATAGATATTTGATACATGCCTAATAGATAGATATAACATAACAAGCATATACATGTCAAGAGAAGCAAGAAGTTAACTATCAATATTCATGAGTGACAACAAAATAGACACCTAAGGACAAACACAAGAGCCAATTAGTTCTTAATCATAATAAAGTCATTAGAAGCATGTGTGATTTATATCATTAGGCAACATGAATCAAAAGGTAAAAAGAAACAATATATATAATATTATAGAAGCTATTTAGTACAAATTTATTAATTAGTCGATTTCTAAATTTTTGACTAAAGATGATATATAATTACAACCGATCAAATGAATAAAGTAATATAATTAACAACTACTTTTTTTCTTCAGTTTTCTTTGCATGTATATGCCTACTAAATAACAAGTGTAATGTTTATTCTTTTCAATCCTCTTCTAATATTTGTAATTATATATTGTAACAATAAACAACTATTAACTACTCAAATATGATAGTGAAATGGAGAGAAATATATAAGAAATTTACATATAACAACAACTATTTCCTTAGCAATTTCTTAATGACTTGATATTTCTTAAAATAAAAAAGCCAAATTCTGAGGCAAGTGCACAACAAATTGAAAGCCATAACTAATCAACTCAATAAAAAAAAAAAACATAATCCATCCATTTTAGAATCTTAATAATGCGTTGCATTATTTATGACATATTGATTTGCGTTCATGATTTGTATTGTCAATTCAAATTAGATTTTTACTTTATCTATTTTTTTATTCAACTTTAAGCTCATTGTCTAGTCTAATGTTTCTTTAAGTTGTTTGGAAGCTAAGAGCTCATCTGACATTAGTTTTGTTTCCTTTTTTTCATTTTCTTTATTGTTTTATTTCTATAATATATTTAACTAGCATAATTTAATTATTTTTTTTTTCTAAAAATAGATCAACTTATTTTTGAAAATACTCAAAACACCTAAAAAACTATTATGTGCTTTTAAAAAGAGTTACCTTAATCAAACATGTCTCAATTTAAATCAAAATTAAAATAATAAAATAATAAATAAATAAAATGATCTCAAATGACCATAATTTTCTCTTAAATGATTTCACGAGTTATCACTTTTTTTCTAGATGATTCAATTTGGATGGCTATAAAAAGGAGAGCATAACCAAACTCATTCCAAGGTTATTTAAGGTGTATTTATTCTTACCTCTAATGTATATTACAATCTAATTTGATCCCTTAACTTCTCATATCTTGCTTTTTCTTATCCCTTCCACAGTTTTCTTTGGTCTCTTAACTTTAATTTTTTGGTAACTTGAGAGAATACATTATAAAGAAAGCTTTGCAGTTAAAGTAAACACATCTTAAGTAATATATGAACTAATTTGCTCCTTTTTTATTATGGAAAGAAACATTCATTGATGACTAGATGAACGATTTGCTGATTCATAGAAAAATAATGTTTCAAAATATCTAGAGTAAATTTGTTTATTCATTGTCTTTCTTTAAACAAATGAATTTAAGGCTAAGAACTTAGGGTTTGATGGTCAATGCACTTATTATTATACTATGCTAAATTTTTGTTTCAACAATTTATTTTATTATCATTTTATAGTTGTATATTTGTTGAGCTAACTAAATGTTGATAAATTAAATAATTACCACAACTATTGCATCTTTGCAAACCTTAATTACGCTTGATGGTGATGGTGGCAGTGCTAATTTGAAAGATTTTATTTGAGCTCATGATCTTGTTCTACTTTAGATTTTCTTGTTATTTGTTATTTTTTGATGGTTGCAAAATAAAAAATATAAATTTATTAGCACTTCCTCTTAGATGATACTGACATCTTATTGTTCTTATCACGTTATTGTAGGCTCAAGGGAAAAAAATTTTGTTAAGCTTGATGCACCTACGGTAAATTCAGTTGTAAGTACTGTTAATAAGTTGAATATCTTCAATCATTTTTGTAATAAATAATAAATTGTGTAAAGTTTATAAATTTGTTATTTATTAATTTTAGTTTTTTTATGTTTTTCATATGAAAGAATTGTACATTTTACAATAATTATTTGCTTATCTCTAAAATGCTCAAATGTTGGCTTAAATCTCAGGAACAAAGATTGGTAGAGGCTAACAATTTAAGTACATCAAAAGATATTGGAATATCTGATATTGAAAAACAGATTATACAAAGAAGGAATGAAAGGAAAGTTTTGTTTTTAAATTTTCTTCAATTGTTGTTCTCATGTACCATGACACTTTCTGATTGGTTATATACAAGATTTAGATGAGAATTTTATTCCTCTCTATTGACTTATTTGACATTTTTTCTAATTTCTATTAAAATTAGGTGCATCCATTGCCTTTTAAATTTCTTTAAATTTTATATTCTATTCCTTATATAAAATATTCAATAACCTTGGTAATTTTGTTTTTAATTTTCTTGCTATTGTTGCATGTTATACCAAAGATCTTAACTAATTGATGATAATCTATTTTAGAACAATATGACCTTACATTGATTTGAAGTATTTTCATAAAATCTTATTTTTAGTCATATTAATGAATTTTTTATGAAAATAACTTGTTGAATTTTTATTTTCTAACAGGGCTAAGGTTATTCATCTGCTGAAGATGATCAAATCACAATCTTCAAAGATACATAATTCTGGAGTGCCGAAGAAGGTAATTATCTATTTTAGAAATTTAGTTTTGTTCTCCAAGTTATATAGAAATTTATCAAAACTCTTTTTTTGTATGGTCATATACTTTTTATATATTTATGATAAAGTATACATCATGTCATTGTGCTTGGCACATTACATGACTTTTCAAGATAATTCAAATGACTCTCTTTCACATTTTCCAACATAAGCATTAATAAATCGATGAAAAGTCATGTACTCATATGCTTGCATTTGTATTTATAGGTGCATTTTTATGTATCTTAAAATACCTAAAATGTTTAAGCAAAGTGTCACATACTATAACGTAAATTATTGCCCTTTTTCCAACATTGTTCCCATTGTTAAATTAAAAATTAGGCCATATTAAAGCACATGTTATTCTAACTTAACATTATGGATAATATGAGTGCATGATTAGTTATATAAATATTTGTAAATATGTGGATAAGATGATATTACGTCCCTTTAAATTAAATTGTTCTATAAAGCTTTGTGATATCAATTTCCAATCTTGCTTATGACATATTGTACTAACACAATTAGTAAACAATAAAATATGCTTTTTTTTTCCCAATTTGTTTGGTAAATATTTGCCTCACCCATAATTATACTTTGTATTAATGAATCTACATTTTTTATGATTTAGCAGGTCTTGAAACGGGATCATACTTTTCTAGATGATGATGAAACTTTGTTATGTCGTCCACATAAAATTCATAAGAAATTAGGTGAAAAGGAAAAACAATTTGTTGACAACATCCCATTTACAACAAATGATATGGAAGGTGCAATTGCAACTAACGGCAGGAATGATGCTTGCACTTCTTGTAAAAGTAGTTCGCCCATTATAAAGTCCACAAATACTACTACTTCATGTCACGTCACACTTCCTTTACAAAGAAATTCTGTTGTTGAGGTTAGGTTTTTTTTTTTTTTTTTTTGCAAAATTTTCATCATCTTTATTTTATTATTACCATATTTAAATTGTGATATTATATTTTAAAGTTTATTGAACAAGATGAAGAAATCGATCAGGATGAAATGATTGTGAAGAATGTCCCAATCACAACAACCATATCAGAAAATGTAATTACAACAATTGACATGAATGATGTCTCCTCTCTATCATCTACAAATACTTCAATTTCAAGTCATGTTGCACTCCCTTCACAAAGAAAATCAAGTTTTCTTATGTCAGCCCCTGAGGTTTGAAATTCTTTATTTATTTTAAAATTTTCTTTTCTTTTATTTTGCAATGATTAAATTTAAACTTTGCTCTTGTGTTTTACAGTTTCTTGATCTTGATGAGGAGAATGATGAAACAAATATTTATGCTCAGTTGTTCTTCGATTTGGATCAGCCTAAATTGAACTTACTAGAGCAAAAATCTTCAAATATACATAAATATGAAGTAGAAAATAAACCGAATAAGGTAATTATTTATTTTTAATATATAATTTTGTACTCCAAGTTATATAAAATTTTATCAGAACTCATTTTTCTGTATGGTCATATATTTTTTTATATATTTATGAGAAAGTGTACAACTTGTCATCGTGCTTGGCGTATTATATGACTTATGAAGAAAATTTAAATGACTCTTTCACATTTCTAACTTAAGCATTAATACATCAATGAAAAAAGATGTACTCATATATTTGTATTGGTATTTATAGGTGTATTTCTAGGTATCTTAAAATACCCAATGAGTACATATTGTCGCATATTATTATGTAACAAATAACGTTTAAACATACTGTCGCATATTATTATGTAAATGATTGCCCTTCTTTTTTACAGTTTAATTATGTATGTACCAACATTGTTCCCATCTTTAAATTAAAAATTAGGTCATATTAAAACACATGTTATTCTAGCTTAACATTATAGATAATATGAGTGCATGATTAGCTATAAAAAAATTGTAAATGTGTATAAGATGTGATTAGGTCCCTTTAAGTTCAAATATTTTATAAAGCTTTGTGATATCATTTTCCTACCTTGGTACTAACACAATGAGTACACAATAAATTTTGCTATTTTTTTTCCTAATTTGTTTGGTAAATATTTGCCTCACCCCTAATTATACTTTGTATTAATGGATTTATATTTCTAATAGTTGGGCAGGTATTGAAACGAGATCATACTTTTCTAGATGATGATGAATCATTGTTATGTCATCGTCCACGTAAAATTCACAAGAACTTAGGTGAAAAGAAAAAACAAGTTGTTGAAAATATCCCATTTACAACAAACCCTATGGAAAGTGCAATTGCAACTAACGACATGGATAATGCTTTCACATCTAGTAGAAGTATTTCGCCCATTATAAAGTCCACAAATACTACCGCTTCATGTCACGCCACACTCCCTTTACAAAAAAAATCTGTTGTTGAGGTTTGATATATTTTTTTTATTTTTTATGTTTTCTTGCAAAATTTTCATCATTTTTATTTTAGCATTTCCATATTTAAATTGTGATATTGTATTTCAAAGTTTATTGGCGAAGACGAAGAAATTGACCAAGATGAAATGGTTGTGGAGAATGCCCAATTCAAAACAGCTATATCAGAAGATGTAATTGCAACAAATGGCTTGAATGATGCTTCCTCTCTAAGTAGAAGTAGAGGATCTATTATATCATCTACAAATGCTATCATTTCTAGTCATGTTGCACCCCTTCAGCCCCTTCGGTTTGAAATTCTTTATTTATGTTTTTTTTTTTTTTTGTTATGATTATATTTTTTATTTAAACTTTGGCCTTGTATTTTACAATTTTTTTATCTTGATGAGGAGAATGATGAAAAAATTAGTTATGTTCAGTCATCCATGGATTTAGATCAGCCTAAATCGAACTTACTAGAGCAAAAATCTTTAAATATACATGAACCTGAAGAAGAAAATAAGGCGAAGGTAATTATTTATTTTAAAAATATAATTTTGTGCTCCAAGTTATATAGAAACTTATAAATACTCATTTTATTGTATGGTTAGATATTTTTTATATATTTACGATAAAGTATACAGTTTGTCATCGTGCTTGACCCATGACATGACTTATTAAGATAATTCAAATGACACTCATTTTCCAACTTAAGCATTAATAAATTAATGAAAAATGATGTACTCATATATTTGTATTTTGAAGTTTATTGACCAAGACGAAGAAATCGACCAAGACGAAATGGTTGTGGAGAATGCCCCATTCACAACAACTATATCAGAAAATGTAATTGCAACAAATGACATGAATGATGCTTCCTCTCTGAGTATAAGTAGAAGATCTTTTATATCATCTACAAATGCTACTATTTCAAGTTTTGTTACACTTCCTTCAACCCCTGAGGTTTGAAATTCTTTATTTAGGTTACTTTTTTTTTTAATTTATTTTGGTATGATTATATTTAAACTTTGCTCTTGTATTTTATAGTTTCATGATCTTGATGAGGAGAATGATGAAACCAATACTAATGCTCAGTCGTTCATGGACTTGGATCAACCTAAAACAAACTTACTAGAGCAACAATCTTCTGAAGTAGAAAATAAACAAAAGAAGGTATTTATTTAATTTAAAAATATAGTTTTGTGCTCCTAGTTATATAGGAACTTATCAAAACTCATTTGTTATATGGTCATATATTTTTTTATATATTCACGATAAAATATACAGTTTGTCATTGTGCTTGGCGCATTACGTGACTTAACAAGATAATTCAAATTACTCTCTCACATTTTCCAACTTAGGCATTAATAAATCAATGAAAAATGATTTACTCATATATTTGCATTTGTATTTATAGGAGTATTTCTATGTATCTTAAAATAACCAAAACGCTTAAACATATTGTTACGTATTATTATATAAATAATTGTCCTTTTTTTTGTAAATGAGAGTTTAATTACATATGTACCAACATTGTTCCCATTTTTAAATTAAAAATTAGGACATATTAAAGCACATGTTATTCTAACTTAACATTATGGAAAATATGAGTGCATGACTAGCTGTAAAAAATTTGTAAATATGTCGATAAGATGTGATTGAGTCCTTTTTTACTTCAAATGTTTTTTAATATTGTATAACAAAATGAGTACGCAATAAATTTCACTAGGCTTTTCCTAATTTGTTTGGTAAATATTTGCCTTATGCCCAATTATACTTTGCACTAATGTATCGACATTTCTTATGGTTGAGCAGGCCTTGAAGCGAGATAGTTCTTTTCTAGATGATGAAGAATCATTGTTATGTCCTCCACTTAAAATTCATAAGAAATTAGGTGAAAAGAAAAAACAAGTTGTTGATAATATCTCATTTACAACAGCTCCTATGGAAGGTGCAATTGCAACTAACGACATTAATGATGCTTTCACTTCTAGTAGAAGTAGTTTGCCCATTATAGAGTCTACAAATGCATCTGCGTCATGTCATGCAACAGTCCCTTCACAAAGAAAACGAAGTTTTTATATGTCAACCCCAGAGGTTTGAAATTCTTTATTTATGCTAAATTTTTATCTTTTTTTTTATTATTTTGGTATGATTATATTTAAACTTTGCTTTTGTATTTTACAGTTTCTGGATATTGATGAGGAGAATGATGAAACTAATATTTATGTTCAGTCGTCCATGGATTTGGATCAGCCTAAATGAAACTCACCCGAACAAAAACTTCATTAAATGATAGATCAGCTTGTACTGACAGTTCTAATAAGCATGAAAGCTTCACATTGTGTATTTTTTATGTATTTACACACATCTAACTCTACTAAATTCCTACCTATTATATATTGTGACAATGACAAAATTCTTCATATTGCCGGTATGGTATGAATTATATTATTTGCATATCCATATGACATATGTAACTGTATTTATATAAAAGAAGCAAGTCTTCCTATCTAATTAATTAGGAGCACACGTAAATAAGTTAGTAGCTATACGAATCAACGCCCTTTCCCTCTTCAATGAGGAGAAATAACTAAAACAAATAAGAAAATCGTAATTAAACTTGATATAAGAAAACCCCAACAATCAAGCTATCTGGAAGAAAGCTAACAGCATAACAGTGACATTCAACTTTAACATCAGCATGAGAATTTATACAATTTAAGCAAAGAAATTTATTATTATTATTACTTTGCTTTGCAAGAAAATAAAATGCTAAATTACTTGTATTTGACAAGAATCAAACAAAAGCCTAACATTATATATTCTAATTAACTACTACACTTGAATTCATCTTCTTTTTGATAGTTAATGAACCAACACATATTTGCACATATGCTTGTAAGTTTACCCATATGCAAATCATGAAGCTTGTGATACTCAATAGACTCAATTGATTCACGGTAAGACAAACTTAATACATTCTTGTTAGCATTCAAGAAGAACCCTTCACATTTCCACAATTCACCAGTACTTCACCATGCAAGAAGATATCTCACATTTACCAAGAAACATGTCTCATGGTTCCAAAATGATGAAGCACAATCCATTCATACCAAGTAAACTCAACAGCAATAGAAATGGATTTAAATCTTACCAATGAGGACATGTTGAATCTTTAGAAACGAATTAAATTCACCTAAGTCAACCTGATTGCATCTTCTAAATCAATTCACATTCAGATTCAGAAGTTTTAATCAAGATATTTGCAAGATAAAAAAAAAATGTGAGAGGCTTCAACCTTTCATGTCAAATCTGAACAACTAACAGAAACTTGGCTTTGGTTATCTATAATTAAAAAATAAGTTGAGAAATAGGCAAAGCATAAATGAATCAATCCATATATATACACAAATTTTCATATTTTAATAAAACAAGGTGGGTAAGGTGCTCAATACACACATTCACACATGCCATCCAATTCTTCGTGTATCTACGTATCTAGCACCTATATTTCATATTTATGGCATCTAAATTCCCCATAGCATATCACAAAGGTTACCAATATAGTTTTAGGTGTACGAGTAAAATGGTATATAGGTAAAGAAATTAACGATATGCAAGCACGTAAGAACCATACGATGTGCAAGTATACCTTCCAAAACCCGGTATCCAACATATGAATACGTGAGAATTCTTAACCTTTAATCTATAAAATATATCAATCACCTGCCACAAGCATCTATACATAAGTACTCTGAACACTAGAGAAAATTTCCTAAATATTGAGCCAAGCATTTAAATCTCACAAACCCCTTTAATAAAAGAAGTAAAAGTGGCAATAATTAGTGAATAACCAAATTGTACCATCCTTCTTGAAAATTCCCAATTTCAATTTCTATATACCCACATGATGACTAACCTTGCATTTGACATTACCATTATTCGAATTTTTCATACCACAACTGGATATCACCAACAAAATTTCAATGCCTGGGTGATGTGCTTGTAAAGGATTATGAAATATGGTTATTGGGTATGTAGATACATGAGAATTGTAAGTTGCATATCAAACTTTCTAAATGCTGAAATAATTAAGAGCATATCATAATAATAAATCTCACCGAGAGAAGAAATGAAATCATAACCTCGAACAACCACTAACTTTACCATGTATTTAACAAAGTTTAGGAGAAGATATGCTATGTTAAACGAATTCTAAACATATGTGTACATCGCATCATAATCCTTTAGCAATTCTTGCAAATTTTGGATGGTTATAATAGCATTTCAATCATATCTCAATCATAAACGACTAGAATCAAGAAGCAAGAACACCCATTTACCTCTTCTCGAATCAGATTTATATGTTTTGATGCCTATGAAAAAGAGCTTCAGGTTTCCACACAACGAGTCACAAATTTCAGATTTTATGAACCAAAATTGTCAAGAAAATTAACATACACTCACACACTTACGTACATACTTCCAACTCTTTATATACTTACATATCTCACATCTAGGCTTTAATATTTACTTTTATGCCACCCAAACCATTCATATCGCATCAAAATATCACTACTCTTAAGTTTAACAAGATGAAATACACATTATTCATGTATGTAAATATCTCCTTGAAACAAGCCTAGGTGCTAGGAGTGTAAATACGTGGAAGAAAGTGATACATGTGTAACTTATTAAAATTTTGTTCTTGAACATGTGGATAGATGGAAATTAAGTGTCGCGCACATAAATAATGGAGATATGCGGCGTGCATGTAGATATTAGCACTTAGGTGGTAAATATGTAAATGGGATATGACTAGCCATGAAAGCCTATTAGTTTGACTGGTAGGTACGCAAAATTGAAGATTAATTGCTAGATTTGTAAATGTAAGAAAACGGGGTGGTAATTAAATAAATCTTCCCTTCTTTGGTTGGTCATGCTATTAATAGCATATATGCACTCTTCGCTACAGCAACAGCCCATTCATCTCAAGTCACATGAATCAGTAATAATGAACATGCAAAATTTTCATCATCTTTATTTTAGTTTGACCATATTTAAATTTTGATATTGTATTTTAAAGTTTAATGTCCAAGACAAAGAAATTGGCCAAAATGAAATGGTTGTGAAAAATGCCCCATTCAGAGCAGCTATCTCAGAAGATGTAATTGCAACAAAAGGCATGAATGATGCTTCCTCTCCAAGTAGAAGCAGAAGATCTATTATATAATCTTAAAATGATACCATTTTAAGTCATGTTGCACTCCATTCACAAAGAGAACCAAGTTTTCTTATGCGAGCCCCTGAGGTTTGAAATTCTTTATTTATGTTAATTTTTTTTTATTTTTTTTTATTTTGGTATGATTATATTTAATCTTTGAACTTGTATTTTAGAGTTTTTTTATTTAGATGAGGAGAATGATGAAACAAAAATTTATGTTCAATTGTCCATGGATTTGGATCTGCCTAAATCAAACTTATTAGAGCAAAAATCTTCAAAGATACATAAATCTGAAGTAGAAAATAAGCCGAAGAAGGTAATTATTCATTTTAAATATATAGTTGTGTGCTCCTAGTTATATAGAAATTTATCAAAACTCATTTTATTTTATGGTCATATATTTTTTTATAGATTTATGATAAAATATACAAATTGTCATTGTGTTTGGCGCATTACATAACTTATCAAGATAATTCAAATGACTCTCTTTCACATTTTTCAACTTAAGAATTAATAAATCAATGAAAAATGATGTACTCATATATTTGTATTTGTATATATAGGTGTATTTATATATGACTTGAAATACCCGAAATGTTTAAACATATTGTATATTATTATGTAAATGATTGCCCCTTTTTTTGTATATGAGAGTTTAATAATATATGTACCAACATTGTTTCAATTATAAAATTAAAAGTTAGGCCATATTAAAGCACATGTTATTCAAACTTAACATTATGAATAATATGAGCACAAAATTAGCAAAAAAAAATATTTGTAAATATGTTATTAGGTTCTTTTTAAGTTCAAATACTCTTTAAAGCTTTGTGATATCGTTTGCCAACCTTACTTATGACATATTGTACTAACACAATCAATACACAATAAATTTTGCTATTTTTTCCCTAATTAGTTTGGTAAATATTTGCATCACCCCCAATTATACTTTGTATTAATGAATCGACATTTCTTATGGCTGGGCAGGTCTTGAAACGAGATCGTTCTTTTCTAGAAGATGATGAATCATTGTTATGCCATCCACTTAAAATTCATAAGAAATTACGTGAAAAAGAAGAAACAAGCTATTGATAATATCCAATTTACAATAAGTGCTATGGAAGGTGCAATTGCAACTAACAACATGAATGATGCTTTCACTTCTAGTAGAAGTATTTCGTCCATTATAAAGTCTACAAATAGTTCTGCTTCATGTCATGCCTCACTCCCTTAAAAAAGAATACCAAGTTTCAGTACGTCAGTCTTTGAGTTTTGAAATTCTTTATTTATATTAAATTTTTATCCATTTTTTTTTAAAATTTTGGTATGATTATATTTAAACCTTGCTCTTGTATTTTACAGTTTCTTGATCTTGATGAGGAGCATGATGAAACCAATATCTATGTTCTATCGTCCTTGGAGTTGGATCAGCCTAAATCGAACTCACTAGAATAAAAGCTTCCTTAAATGATATATCAGCTTGTATTGACAGTTCTAATAAGCATGAAAGCTTCACATTGTGATTATTCTCTCCCTCCCACACCACCCATGGCAAATGCATCGCCTTTTAGATTGGCATGGTGGCTGATTGCCAAAGTTCATGGAGTGTTTCATCAGTTAGATAGCCTCCAAGTTCTTCTTTTTTTTTATTTTTTTTAAAACTATATATAAATATATATATATATATATATATATATATCACAATTTATTTTTTGTTATATATATCAAAATTTGATATTTCCATTTATAATATAGTGGTGTCTCCCTTTTAAAAATATAATGTTGGCGAGATTTTTTATGTGATCTTAAAAATATAAGTTTTATTGATTTAAAAATGAACGTTTTTGTGCAAGATCTATAAATATATAAGAATTTGGTGGTATGTATGTAAATGACTCTTTGTTTTGAAATATAATGAAACTTGGTCTTTCATTCATTTGGTTGGAAGTAGTAGTAAATCAGAATTAACATTAATCTTTATGAATGCAATAAAGTCGGTCAACTACAAGTTATTTCGTTCTAGCTTGCTCATTTATTGTCAGTTAGTGATGAATATATATAGTAGTTTCATGCTTTGGTGGAATGCGTATGACTATAGAAGCTCTACTGAATTCTTACCTATTTTATATTGTGACAATGACAATATTGTCCAAATTGCCGGTATAGTCGGGCAAGTGATGTGGATTGATGCTCGAACCAACT